CCCCCCCCCCCCCCTCCCCCAAATAATATACTTTAATTCAATCAAATCCTATTCGAAGTCTTAGAAAACTAATAAATCAAGTTGTTTTAAGTTCAAAATGGAAATATTTAAATGCATTGAGTGAGGTTGAACAATGCTTCCCAGTTTTTATATTTTTGGAAATTTTGAACTAAAAAGACTTAAAGAGACTTAATTTTAAATTTCCCTTTTTGTGATCTTTAAACCTTTAAAGATGGAAGGGTACTGCTTGAATTGTACACGCCACTCTATCAATTGACGGTCACGTAAGAAGTCCCAATAAAGATTTATAAAGTCCCATTTAATAATATATAATATTGAAAAATATTTATGTTTCATAAAATCGATGAGAATTCGCCAATCACTTCTTTAAACCTGGAGCTAAAAACCAGTTCTTTATAGTTCTTAAATGTATTGTACATTGTAAATATCTAGGCTATAACACTAAATCATTAATGAAATAGTTAGGTGAGTTCAAAGGCCAAGACACTATTCTAGCTATTTTAAATAGTCTGGATCAATATGTAGAGTGAAAAATTTTGTTGGCCAGCAAAGTAAAAGTTAAACATCACAACATTATATAAAAATCATTTTGTATTTAACTGTTTAGTTCTGATCAATTCGAGGTTATTGTATTTAGAGTAATATACGCTAATCCAAGGTTATAATGCAAGGAAAGTTTTTCAGAGGTATACGCATCTGTCTCTGGATGGTAATGTTAACACAAGACGGATGTCACAGCCTGACATGGGATCCATCTTTCACATAAAAAATCAATGAAATATTCTGATCATAGGAAACTAGTATGTGAATTATGAAAATTAAATGCTTTTACCCTCCTTGGAAACTAAACGAAGACTGATGCATCTATTCTTGTTTACAAATTCAGCCCAGAGAGAACTGGTTTCAATATGTACGCAGAGTACACGCAACTGCAATTAACTTTCCTTGCATCATAATTGGACAGGCCATGTACTGCACTTTCAAAGGTCAATCTGTATATTACAGTACTCGGGGGTGATTTCTGATAATATCTATTTTCATTAAAGCAGGAAAGGGAATTTCAATCAAAAAAACTGAAGACAGTAAACATAATTTCAGCTGATCTTTTCCGTTTATAGAGAGGGATGTACGGTTAAAAATGGTACTCTTAAAGCTCGGTTTAATTATGAATGCACGGGATAATTTTCTCTTTGAAAGTAGATTATTGTAATCGTGATTTCTCTGGAGTGTGTCTGGCGGAGTTTGCTTTTAAAACAATTGAGAAAATAAGAAAATTTAAGACACAAAACCTCCCCATTCATTTGTACCAAGGTACTAATGCAAGGAAAGTTAATTGCGGTCGCGTATACTCTACGTACATATTGAAACCAGTTCTCTCTGGGCGGAATTTGTAAACAAGAATAGATGCATCCATGTTCGTCTAGTATCCGAGGAGGTTAAAAGCATTGAATTTTGATAATTTTGAAAATTCACATAATAGTATTCTATGACCAGAATATTTCATAGATTATTTTTGTGAAAATGGATTCCATGTCAGGCTGTGACATCCGTCTTATGTTTACTTTTCCGCCCAAGACAGTACCCTGAAGTACAAAAAATGCGTACACTTCTGAAATAACTTTCCTTAGTACCTTGACTTGTAATATGAAAGCGTACTGCATATTTGATGTTATTAGTTCCAAAACTAACGCTTGGCCCATTTCTAACACTGAGTGTTAGAAATAGACGCGGCTGGATTTTTGAAAATCACACTTTGCAGGCCCTAAATAATATACAATTTAATAAAGTAGTTTTGCCCTGAATAGTCCAACGTGGTGGCATGTTAGAGGAAATAGTGGTGGCTCATGGCTGCTGGAAGAGAAAAAAGCAAATATGTGGCACGGAAGGGGAAATAGTGGTGGCTCACGGCCGCCTGCCTTCCCCCGCTCATCACAGACGCCCACTCTTTTGGTACAGACACACAAACATGACGTTTCCGCCCCCTGATCCTTTATCAGTAAACTGTCCTAATTGTACCCTCTTGCTAAATGACACGGACAGGTAGCTAGGATCCAGCCCCCCTGGTTATGACTCTTGCTTACTTGCCATATAAGGTTCAAATAAATACAAAGTTTGGGAATTTTTTTTTTTTGCAAAAATCCAATTTAAAAATTCCAATTTTCAATCTGAGCATAAATAATTTCATCCGGCCAATAAAAACTATAAAGGATGTGAATATTCAATATGATAAAATATAGCTTTCTATGAATTATTATTATTTTCTTGAGAAATGGATTAATTAATCAGTCAACGAGGCAGCAACGGAAACAAAGCCAGGATATTTTACAAGGACTGTTAGTGAAGTTTCAAGTTTCTATGATATGTGTTCGATTAACAACGGTATTCTTTAAACCTTCATCTAAAAACAATGAGGAAGCTATATCGTTTTTTTCTGTCTGGACAAGTGTTAAATTCTGACAATTCCCTTCTTCTTCTTTGATTTATTAATCCGCATTAATCCAGGTACAATCCGTCCACTATCAGAGTTAACCAGGACACCACGCACCTGGCTCTAAATGCCACACAGTTACACCCGGGTAGCTATCCAATAAGCTATTAGTTCAACCACGACACAACCCACCTGGCTCTAAATGCCACACAGGGACACACGGGTAGCTATCCAACAAGCATATTAGTTCAGCTCTACGGAGTTAATTTATCAGTTTCAATGAAAATGGCATTATGTCTAAGTTTACAACATTAAATCATTAAAATGTACAACGTACTGCAGTTTTACAGAATATCATGTTTCCACGATTTTTGCTTCATGTAAACATAGAAAAGCAAATTTATCTCATATGTCCTTGATCGGATACATGTTTTAAGGGTTTCGTTATGAATCAAACACGTTACTATTTCCATGGAGGGTCTCTTGAAGAAAGTGCTATTTTTTTTCTAAGTAGGCAGCGTAGGACACTTCAGTTCCACAATCTTACCCCGCCTAATATTATAAAGTAAAGCACCGTGCACTGCAACGCTAAAGGGTATATATTAAGAATTTAGGAATCTTGTGGTTGCGCTTCCGTATTTGCTAAATTGCTTTATCATAATTTAGATTTAATGATAATTTGTACTTTTACTGGAATTATGCAAAATGCAAAAAACTGGCCAGCTGAATTGTTAAATAACTAAAATAAATTCCAGTGCAAAGATATTCTAGATTAAATCATAAAAGGGAAAATTTTCAAAGTGCACACATTGAGTCCCATTATACTCAAGAAAACATAATTCAATCTTCAAATTTTTAGGATTTTTTTAAAACTCACATTTAGACAGTTTTTTGTTTGCAGGTGGGATATAGTGGTGAAAACTAAATACTGTTAAAATAATTTTGAACAATTTTGTAGTTTTCTTTTGTGAAAATAAAACTATTTAAAAATTTGTTTTGAAAAAAGGAACTTCTCTTTTTAAAAATCATGGGAAATTGTTTGTATTATGATATCTATATAGAACTATTCTTATCATGGTAAAGTAAAGATAGATGCTGCAATAAAATTCTTTTTTATCAAGAAGTTTAATTTCGATGATTATATAAAGATGGTTTATAAATGCTCTACTTATATATAAGAATGAAAATGGTTTTAGAAACTAAATTTCCTATGATTTTCTTCCAGGTTTATCTCTCATTTTCAAATAAATGTGTTTTCACAAGTATGTATTTTAAATAAATAAATAAATAATTAAATAAATACAAGTTTACAGTACAATAACGATTGCAATACAATAAGTGTTGAGCAAAATGTACAATGTGCGTCTAGAAAATCATGTACAAGGTTTATTAATGCCCTTATATAATATGTTTAATAATGGAAGATAGAGAGAATAGGGTTGCATTGGCTTGAAGACATGATCATCTAGCTGAGCCATGTTTTATTAATGTTTTCAAGGATTTGTTCCAAGGCTTTAAGCAAGAAATTTATCAAATCATGCCGGAGGACCTTTAGTTAAAAAATTCTGCGGTTTCATCGAGAAATACTTTCATTGACACCTTTAATTTACAGTTTTTGTCCAATTTCATCTTATCTTATAAAATCTTTAATAATCTCCATTTTTGAATTTGTCCTTCAGATATTCTTGAAGAGTTTACTAATATTTATAATAACGATAAATGGCACTGCCGCCCGACCCTGGACGTAGGTTTAAACTACAATCCACATTTGCCTCCCAGTCACATTGATCCGTTGCCACATTCCACTTGAGACCGGCCTGGCAGGTGTACCGGGTAGACGCCCCATGGGCACATTGGTGGTACACATCACAGCTGTTCGGATCTGGAAAATTCCCCTCATTAGCGGGGCAGATAAACTTGGTCAGCTGCTTGGACAAACTCTTCTGGATCGTCTCGTCAGAATCCCAGTCATCGCCAGCTATGTCATAAAGTTTCTGAAGAGCGGCGGATTTTTCCATTTTAACCGGGGCAGAACCACGGATTTGGTTTTTAGCCGAGGAACCGAAGGTTTTACTCTGTCGAGGTCGTGTTGGTGCAAAGATCGGAACAGGTGTGGGACGAGGACGCTCTATCTCCTTCTCCTCTTCAAGGTGAAGTGCAGGTTGTAAATGGGGCTGGGGAGTGGGGGAGGGAAAGAGAGGTAGTTCTTGAAAGAAAGGTTGAGGAGAGAAGGTAGAATGAGAAGGAGCCAAAGTAGGTTGAGGAGGAGGGATGGATGGTAGAGTTGGAGGGATGGAGGGTTGAGGAAATGGGAAAGAGGGTTCTGCCTCATGAGCTTGCTCTTGTGGATGCTGGAAACTATTCTGATGAGAAATGATTTGAAGATCCCTACCAGGAGAAAACCCTGGGTGAGCGACATGCGTCAATTGCTCCGGCTCTTGAGGAGAAGGAGGGTTATGGGGATCCTGGGGTTCATTAATTGCTTCCAGATGTAATTGTTGGGTATCCTCTGGATGTAGTTGAATGGCTGGTTTGTGATGAACTAATCCGTGAGAACCATGAAGTTGAGGTTGATGATGAAGAACAGGAACACTAAGGTGTGGTGGAGGGTGTACTTCATGTGGGACTGGAAGTGGATTGTGTTCTACCTGATGAGGGTAGGAAGAATGGAGGAGGGGTTGATGGAGTTGGTGAGGTTGGTACGGAGTTGCGTATGGGTTTTGATGAAAGTATTGATCTGGATATGCTGGTTGGTAGGAATACTGAGGATACGGATGATTAAGCTGTTTAAGATGAGATGGATGAGCAGTAGGTTGATACGAAGTGTATTCGTGAGGTTTAGGTTCAGGATGGTCTTGAGAATAATGGTGTGGAACTGGAGAGTGAGGGTTATAAGCAGAGTATGGCGAGTAGGGACCTGGAGCTGGAGAGTACGGATGAGGGGTTGGAGAAACTCCATAAGGAGCTGGAGGAGCAGGAGTTATAGCATAGGCAGAAGATTGATGTGGACTGTAGGGATCAGGGGTGGGGTTGTAGGGAGCAGGTACGGGACTGTAGGGAGCAGGAGTAGGACTGAATGGAGCCGGTGTTGGACTATAGGGAGCAGGAGTGGGACTGTAGGGAGAATGTGTAGGACTGTAGGGAGCAGGTGTAGGACTGTAGGGAGCAGGTGTAGGACTGTAGGCAGCAGGTGTTGGACTGTAAGGAACAGGTGTAGGACTGTAGGGAGCAGGGGAAGGACTATAAGGTGAAGGAGTAGGACTATAAGGTGAGGGAGTAGGATTATAAGAAGCAGGGGTAGGACTATGGGGAGCGGGATGGTGAAAGGAGGATGGTGTTGGGTGATGAGAAGGATGGGATGGAAGTGGAGTTACAAAATTTGTTGGGACCTCGTGGTAGGGTTCCTCGTGGTAAGGTTCCTCGTGGTAGGGCTCCTCGTAGTAGGGTTTTTCATGGTAGGGTTCAGTATACGGTGGTGAGTTTAAATCTCTCTTGTTATTATACCCCCCTGCATAATTAAACTGGTTTTCATCATTGTATAGAAACCTTCCTTCTCTTTGGAGGTAGTGACTGTAAATGTGGGACTGGTAAAGATCATCATTCCTCTTCCTTCTCTCAGCTCCGAAGCCAGGGTTGAGTAGGGGAAGGAGGAGAAGAAGTTTTAGCTTGATATAAACCATCTTGCTGAATCTCATGCACAGACCTCACACTTCACTCCACATTCTAGAACATAGAGAGAAATTTAATATAATTAATTCTAAATATTCAGAAAAACTTTCTCTTTGATAGAGAACTTTTAGACTTTAAACTAATATGTTTTCAAGGAAGAATTAAATTAAAACTAATTTTTCCAAAGTTTACATCAAAACTAAAATATGAATACAGGAAAAATAGTAATAAAACACAAGTCACAAACACCTATTTAAAACTCAATTTAGAGGCAAGGTTCGATAAAATAGGTTATAGTGAACAAAATACCCCTGGATCTAGAATAGACAAGATGTAGTGTTCTATCTGTATTGTTATTAATCTATGCATAGTTCTAACTAAAAGAAAATGATTATAATAAAATCCACAACTTTGAAATATTTTGATAAGAATATTGATAGAAATTTGCAACGTTTTTAAGAAATTTATTTTTGAAAGTTAATTAGTAAATATTTGCAGTTTTCTTTTGAAAAACTTAGGAAAAAACCTAGAATTCAGAAACAGATTTAAACTCAGAAACAGATTTAAACTCAGAAACAGATTAAAACTCAAAAACGGATTTAAACTCAGAAACAGATTTAAACTCAAAAACAGATTTGAACTCAGAAACAGGTTTAAACTCATAAACAGATTTAAACTCAAAAACAAAATTTCAACTCAGAAACAGATTTAAACTCAGAAACAGATTTAAACTCAGAAATAGATTTTAAATCAGAAACAGATTTAACTAGTAAACAGATTTCAACTCATGAACAGATTAAAACTCAGAAACAGATTTCAACTCATAAACAGTACTAAACTCGAAACAGAAACAGATTTAATCTAAAAAAACAGAAAATTATAAGAAGCAGAAAACAAGAGAACTGAGAAAATTACAGAAAAGCTTTAAAATCTAAGAAAGCTTTAAAATTAGTCCTAAATTTAAACCAGGCAACTAAAACTGACAATAATGTTCTTAATCTAAAATAAATATTAAGCTTGGGAACCCAGCGTTGCACAGGGTACTCTTACTTACTCCCGCCGTTTACCCGCACTTAGACGATTTTACTGGGAAACTAACTTTTAGCAATAAAAGTCGACCCCTTCAAATTACAATCTCAAAACCATACTAAGAACATTCCCGTGAGTTTTCCGAGTTCCTCAATCAAAATTTTAGGGAAATCGGTTCAGGGGTTCCCGAGTTATGATCGGACAAATAAACAGACAGACAGATAGACAGACAGAGATCACAACTTTATATATATAAATAGATAATATGAATTGTGGAGTTGAATCCTCCATATTCAGCTTAAACTAATTAGTAACAAAGCTTGATAATTAATAATTATGTTCTAAGTTGTTCCTAACTAGTTTAATTTGTAATCTTGAAAACCTAAATCAACATTTTAGCACAATTCCACTCTACACAGAACACACTTTGGGCAATTGTCTATAGGAGTTACGCGCGCTTGCCGCGCTGAATTACAAGAAAGAGAGAGATTTGTATATATTTTAGGATTATGTTAGGTTATGACCAGTGGCGTACGAGAGCATTTGTGTAGGGGGGGGGGGCACATTTTGTGCCTCCTCTTGGCAACATTGTTCCCCCCCCTTTTAAAAACTTCTTTTCTGAAAAAATATTGAAACCTTTTTTAACTATGTAAACTATTCGATCATATACACACTTCCATATTACAAGCGTTAATAAATTATTTATCTAATTTTCTGAAGTGGAAGTTATCAGACAATCCCTCTTATACTGTGATGAAAAATAGAGATGCGAAACGTTTCTAAAAAAATATCTATATTTTCATAGGATCGATATATATTGCTTTATAAATTATGATATCAAATATATATTTACACTGAAGGCAGTATTGATTAAAGCCGTTTTGATAAACTTTTTTAGTTAAGGGCAAAAGTGAGATTTTAAAGTATTTTTTATACGATGTAATTATACTTAAATGGAATACATGCGTGCCCCTCCATTTATAGAGTGGCATGTCCGATGTACCTTTGAAACCTTCATTTCTCCATCGATTCTAAAGCAAGAAATGTGCAAGTCACTTTTGTAGAGAAACCACAAATAAAAATGATCAGTTTTCAAAATGGGAAACATGGATATTTAATGCAATACTTGATCAGACAAAGCTTTGAAGGGTATTGTTGTAAATCAGAATATATTTAATTTCTTTTCTTAATCTTTTAGTTTGGGTGAGTGCAATGCAATGCAATGTAGAATGTAGATTGTCTGAGGAAGGGAAATGCAAGCAGAAGTAATATTAAAAGAGCCCCCCCCCATTGGTGCCCCCCCTCAGGGGGCCGGGGGGATCAACCCCCCCTCGCACGCCCCTGTTTAAGACACTTTCTGGTCCGAGCACTGCGGCTTGGGGGCCGAGCGCCGTGGCTAGTACAGGCTAGGGGGCCGAGCACCGCGGTTAGAACAGACTTTGTCTCTGTCTTGTAATTCAACGCAGCATACACTTAACACCTTTGGGCTTCAGTCCACGCTTTGCAGTACAGTACATGCATTCTTCTACTAAGGTGACCACAATAATGGGGAATGATTGTCGTCTTCTTGATAAAAAATGAACTCCACTGTTTTCTGGTTATCACCGTACATAATCAAATTAAAATGTTTCAAAAAGAACAAGTTAAACTGAACCCAACCATATCAAAACAAATAAAACCAAGTCGAAAAAAAATCCAACCAAATAAATCCAAGTTGAAACAAATCAAACCAAATAAAACCAAGTTGAAACAAATAAAACCAAATAAAACCAAGTTAAAACAAATCAAACAAAATAAAACCACGTTGAATCAAATCAAACCAAAGAAAACCAAGTTGAAATAAATCCAATCAAATAAAACCATGTTGAAACACACCAAACCAAATAAAACCAAGTGGAGACAAATCAAACCAAATAAAACCAAGTTGAATAAAATCCAAACAAATAAAACCAAGCTGAAATAGATCCAATCAAATAAAACCAAGTTGAATAAAATCCAAACAAATAAAACCATGTTGAAACACACCAAACCAAATAAAATCAAGTTGAAACACACCAAACCAAATAAAATCAAGTTGAAACACACCAAACCAAATAAAACAAAGTGGAAACAAATCCAACCAAATAAAACCGATTGGAAACACACCAAACCAAATTAAACCAAGTGGAAACACACCAAACCAAATTAAACCAAGTGGAAACACACCAAACCAAATAAAACCAAATTGAAACACACCAAACCAAATGAAATAAAAGGAAAAATCTAAAAAACATATATAGTTAAAACTTACTCAGTGTAAAACAAATAAATTCATTAATTTTGGCTAGTTTAGAAAATTAAGAAAAAATAGGGACAAATTAATTGTGGATGTTTCAGTGCCAAGAATTAGATAAATTATTGTATAAGTATTGAAAAAGATAAACAGATGAACAAAAACCTGGCATCGAAAGAGAAAACTTGATGTATTAGGGGATTTGTGGTATGTCCATTTTTAATACAATTGTTAGCTCAAACTTATAATTTTACAAGAACTGTAATACCTTATTTTATAAAAATATGTGTTTGTTACACCATAAACATGTAAAGTTATTCTTACAAGCATTATGATGAGAATGATGAACAAAATAATGTTATAAAATCATTATACTTCTCTACTCCCTTTAACTGTATATACTACTTCTCTACTCCCTTAAACTGTATATACTACATCTCTGCTGCCTCTAAACTATTCAAGTAAGCCCTGAATGGTTATCTTATTAGCTAGAAACTTGATACAAGGAATTTAGAGCACTTAACTGGTTCCCCCCTTCCCCCCTCCCAAATCTCAAGCTTATAAATTTAAATTTTTGAGTTTGGAGTAGTCATCCTGCGCACCGATAATTTGTTTCGTGTTTTTTTATTTTTAATCTTTCAATTCGTTGAATATTGTTTGGATGTATTTTTTGTTTGGAGTAGTTCTCTTTTGAATGTAAATTCGTATTATCTTGAGTTAAATGTATTTGTAGTATCTAGTCCAATCTTGAGTTGAGTGTATTTGTAGTATCTAATCCTATCTTGTGGTAAATGTATTTGTAGTATCTAGTCCAATCTTGAGTTGAGTGTATTTGTAGTATCTAGTCCTATCTTGTGGTAAATGTATTTGTATTATCTAGTCCTATCTTGAGTTAAATGT